GAGTTTAAAAGCCAAGAAGGGAGGGGAAGTGCGTGCAGATAAAAATTAAAATACACTCCACCTTTCCTCCTGCCTTAAACTTGAAACTTCAATAACTTCAAAAACAGTTATCCGAAACTGGTTATCGACCAGTCAAGGTTTTAGTACATTATTGTCAATTTAAAAAGTTAATAAAATATATACGTTCCCATTTAAGTTTTAAAAGTTGCTATCAAAAAAACTAAGTTAAGAAGAGGGTAAAAACATAAAAAATCGTGAAAAATTGAGATCACGTTTTATAAAAACATTATAAAAATAAAATTCAATTATTAATTAAACCCAGTGCGATATTAACTGGTTCATGATAAAAGAATCACCCTGTAGAACATCTGCTGTGACCTATTACTCTACTATTAATACTTCCTTACTTTGCTAGTTTATACTGTGGTCTGTGCTTGATTTGGATTGCACTGGTTTGAACAAACTAACCACACATATGCATCAAAGTGTTTATTTGAAAGTGATCTTAACTTTCAGTTATAATAATTATTGTAGATCTTTGACCTCCCCGTTCCCACTACGCTGTGTCCTCACTATGCCCCGACCCGACGGATCACTATTTGCTCCTTTTTTAGCTTTGATGACGATTTATTTATTCATTTTTTTCTTTCTTTCGCTTTATCATGCAACATTTTTAATGGTTTAGGTATGAAAATTAGACCAAAGTAAGATCTAAAATGGGGCTATAACATTAATAGTTTTCTCAAAAATCTGTAGTCAAACATTTTTTTTATTAAGGAAAAACCAAAACCCAATCCACAAAAATGATATACTTAACGCATATACGTATTTCAAAAACTATGTTGTCATCTTCAGTGCCGGCCGTCGACTGAAAATTAAAGTGACTAGTGTAATGGGTGCTAATTTGATTAAAACTGGTATATTTATATTATCTACCAATAATCGTATTTATTTTCCGACTATGAGCTCTACGCAAAGCTTTAACTTTTAATATTGACCTTAATACCACATTCGAAAACTTATATTTTCAATACAAATTTTCTTACAAAAATTTACTCGTTGTACTATTTTTAAAGCTAGTTGAAATGTATACATTTTTTTTTATATAAACGTTAGAATTAAATTTATATAATCATTAACATTAAATTTATAATATGTGTATAAATGAAACTAGTTTGAGGTGAATTAAGATTGAAAATTCCTAGGGACAGAGGCCTCTCAGTCTAAGTATAATCTAAGTTAGTAATACATTAGTAGAAAACCATGCTGCAAGTGAATTATTCAAATAATAACATATTTTCATATTGAACTAAAAAAATATGAAGGTTACCTATGTACGAAATTATCTCTATGAAAAAAACAAAAAGCAACATATATTATATATGAAAGAATTATAAAAAAAAAACAATTATTTTAATATATATACTGTGTCTGAATCTGTTTGTACATTTTTCATATTTATATATTATGTATTCCATTCAATCATTAGCAGTTTACCATTACTTATATATATTTTTTAATAACATGTTGATTCCTTTTTGGTTAATTATTTATGTATAAAATATACACAGAGCTGACAGAAAAATAGAAATATCAAAAATGAGAACGTCGAGAGGAATGTGTCGGAAACAAAACACAAAAAAACATTTAAGTATTACACTATTACAGTCCTAACCAAAGAAATTTTAAGGGATTTACTGATTTCACAGGCTGTTGTTTGAAGGGGATATAAGTATACAGGGTGATCCAACTAGCGTAAGATACTAATTTTCTCGGAATACATTAATATTTTGAAAAAAAATGTTTTTCTATTCTTTGTGGTTCATATTTTACTTTATTTTTCAATATTTAGAATATTTTTATCTTCAACACTTATATGTAAAACAAGTATCGCATTTGGTAGTTTAAATGGGAACGTATATTTTTAATTTCATACATCTGTAGACAAACTTTTTAAAACAATTCTAGCGACTGAATTTCTATTTTTCATCAGTCGGTTCCCAACTTATTGCGTTGTAAAGATTTGAAATTTTGATCCATATTCATTTGGGATTTCAACACTGGTAGCATATTACTTTCTATTAAATAGTATTATCGAACACGTCGTCTTCTGTTGATAAAACCGATAACCAGATAGAAATAATACTCCTTACTTTTTTTTTGATAATACTCGTATATTGTTATTTATGTCTGATTATCGGTGACAGTATTACCCATAGGGATCAGTATTATTATTTAATGGAAAATAGAAGTGCTACTGTTTCATTTAACCCAATAAATATTTATTTTTAAATTCAAATCTTTATAAAGTCATAGCAAACAAACAGATAGTTGAAAATTAGAAATTCAAACATTAAAATTGTTTTAAAAATGTTGTCTACAGATTTATGAAATTAAAAACATACGTTTTCATTTAAAAAACCAAATACGATAATTGTTTTACATATAAGGATTGAAGATTAAAATATTCGAATTATTGAAAAATGTAGTAAAATGTACCTAGAAGTTTAGGAAAAAAAAATCTCAAAATATTCATATTTTCAGAGAAAATGAGTGTCTTGCGCTAGTTGGATCACTCATCACCCTGTAGATATCTATAACTATTTATGTATTTATGAACGTTGTAGTAATCCTTTGCATTTAAATTGCAAAACATTTTTTTTCAAGCGTTTATGAATTAAATTGATTAACTAGTCACAACAAACTTAATCATAAACTTTACTTTTTAGTCTAGAAAAAACTGTTAAGCAAACTTATGGTTAAATATATAGTAAAGATATAAAATCTACTTGAACCCTAAACCATAAAAACGCAAGAAGTGTATAATTTTTATGGTTTAGGGTTCAAGTAGATTTTATATCTTTACTATTTACTTTTTAGTTTGTGTATTAATTTAATAATACCCAAATCATTTTTTAGTAACGTAATTATATTCAGAGCTGAAAAAATTTAAATACAAAATTGATAGGTAATTTTTTATTTGCCATTAACATTATTTGTATGTAAAAAAAAAAAAATTAGTTTATTTATACTTATAGTGAATAAATTATCTATAAGTTAATATAAATATTATCTAATTTACCCAGTTATGTTTGTACGAATCAATTTACAATTTTAATACAACCAAACTAAACTACCTACTTGTTGATTGAGTTTATAAATTGCATTCAAGTTTACAATTATACGGTTTACTTGAAGGCCTAAATATTTAAAATTGTTTTTCTTATTAAAAACAACTTTTTTGAGTTTTGAATACTTATGATCGGTTGCATCGTCTTTGCTTTGTTCTTAAAAAAAACTTACCATTGTAAAATATCTTCTTATATTTTCAGACTATCGATGGCAAAATAGAAATTATACATGTTTGACGGGTATTTTTTTTGTGTATTATTTATTTACACTTGTTGAAATTCAAATGAATTAGAAGTTATAGAATGATTTGAATTTGTCCATTTTTTATTTTTGGATTAACAATAACTGTAGGTAGACACTAGACAAACACAATGTTGTGGGTCGTTAAGTAATGTTTTACAACATTGTCTCAATATTTGTACTAGAAAGTTTTTTTGGCGGGTGTACCGACTAGAAGATATATACCAACTAACTGAATACAAGTGCAAGAAAATACTATGAGTTTAGATAATTATATAATATATTATATGATAAATGAACATACAAATTAACCAATAATAATAATAATGATATGATATTATAAAAATTACATTGTAGTGAAGGTATGAAATAATATAAGACAATGATATATAAGAGATGAAATAAAATATAAAATTATACATCTGAGTGAGTAAATAAAATAATAAAAAATCTTAACATAGATTCGTGCTGGATAATTTTTAATTCGATATAACGTTAAAAAATAAAAATATATAATATAATGTTGTAAATAATAATAATTCATAATATTAAAGTATATGCTACATAAAACGTAAATCCCTTATAATGCTAAATATATGACAGTGACGTCGAGTCTGAAAAGTGTCATTATGAAAAGGATTGTAATAGTATTTATTGTATTTTTAATATTGATATAATATAATATTACATTAATTATAATATTTGTTTGGTTTTTCAAAAAAACTATACAGATTTCATATTGATAGTAGATTAAAGAAATTAAAAAAAGAAAACTAATAAATTAATACATTAAAAAAAAAAATACATTCGAGTGTACAAATTAAATATATATTTATAATAATAATAATTAATAATAATAATAAACAATACAAAATACCACGATGGGAGTAGACGCAACGAGACTATTATTTTAAACTACTGTTTTGCATTTATAGACAAAATACCGTTCAATTAATTTCATATTAATATAAATAATTGACAAAAAAAAGAGGTGTTTTATTTTTTAGTTGCTATGTCAAGTCGTTACAGCATAGAACAAACACCACACACACACACACACACGCAAGTAATATTAATGATTATAAATAGCATAAACATCTATAAATTTGAGTCTAATAGTGTTTAGGTTGACTAGATGGATGAAGGTTGACTTGGACTAGACTAGACTGATTTTTATGACTATGCCCGAGACTAGGCTACAAGATTTCGGTTTTATATTATATTAAGAAATTTATTATTCGTATATAAAATTATACAATGTAAATATATACGTTTTAAAGGTGTTTAAATTTGTTTGGAGTTTAATTGGCTATCTTGTGCTTGTTAAATTTAATTATTATTTTTGGAAAATAGTATAAAATGATTCAAGATCGAGGGCAAATATTAAAACTATTAAAGAATTAAAAATTGAATTTTGAATTGAGTTTGTCAAAGTTTAACCATGTTTATAAACTGTGTTGGTTAATTCGGCGGATTGGCGACAGGTTTTGCTTTTAACGTATCTACACACAATAATACTATGCAGGTACAAATATCATCACAAGTATAATATTATTATGACAATATATTGTGTACCCGTGAGTATCTAAAAATTGAACTAATTATTAACTTAACACACGGCTCATAGACTAGATTTGCAATAAATATCTGTACTAAAATATACTATATTATTTATATACATATATCAATAAACTATAATAAAACTATAATACGACTATAAACAATATTAAATTGATTAGTTGCCGGCGGTGGACATCACTCGCGGCGTGCAAGCATGGTTGGGAAATATCTGACTGGTTTTGGAGTAGGTGGAGTCGGTTCGGTTTTCAAGGAGTTGACTTGACTATGAGATAGAGGGGACAACGATTAAAAAAGTGGGTAGATCCTACCCAGGTGGAGTTTGAGGAGAAATGGACTGTTAGCTAGTCAACTGTAGTTGGTAAGAGAGGTTGGGTTCAGCTTGCAAAGAGCAGGTAACCATGACACGGTTGTGAAGACCTCCGCCGGACAGCATAATTCAATAACGTTTGACTAAAATGGAATGACTAGAACGTACTCAGGACCGCATGCCACGTGGTGGCATCGGCGGTATGTAAAAATGTACAATTAAAAACTAATAACAAAATATTTGTAAGAATGAAAAATTATCGACTGGGCGATTCGAAATAACTCACATGATCTGCCAGGTTCCTAAAAAGATAATTTTCTATCTAAGCCACATCGATACGCCCAGCACCCAATTTATATTACTATATTATGTACAATATGTTTCTACATAAATAAAATATCCTCACACAATAATTGTGTAACGCTTAACTATCTACTGGCGCTGGTAAGTCCTAATTATTGGATGTTTTTGTGCTGGCAAAACTCGCGTTTGAATAGTTACCAAACAAAGACAATAATATATTATAGTTAAATGATTTGAATTCAAAATCAATATGTTACTGCGGGTTCCCAACGTTGTTCGCTACTGGAATTTTTTTTGTTTTTTTTAATTTTTTAAATATTTTTTTTGTTTACACACATACACAACCAACGGCGGCGTTTGTTTTTACTTTTTAACCCCACAATACTTATTATAGGGCCGACTGTGTTGCGTCGACTCTGGCGACTTGAACGCCCGCCGTCGGCAATTATTTTTTTAGTCGCCAAAAGAATGTGTATGATTTTTTATTTTTATTTTTATAATTTTTTTTTATTGTCGAGTCTATGTAATCACGCAGTGCCTCTGGTGCTTAATTTATACGTGCGCTCATGTACACCGACAACTATAGGTACTCAGTACATTGGGACTACTGCTAAGTTTGTTAAAACTAGATCAATTTGTGTTAAGAACCAAATTAAAATGCTATTGACTACGAATTAACCGTACATTAATTTATAAATAACCTAATATTTAACCCATATATTATACTTGTATTTCATATAAATATACATATAATTAAATTAATCTATACTTATAACTGTTTATAAATGTGCGAGAAAATATACCCTGTGATCGAGAACAAAAGAACACCATTACACCCATTAAAAATATATCCCCATATAATATTTTCAATATCTCTAACACTAGCATTATTATTTTCTATCTTAGTTATATAACTAATGAATAAACGCTATCTATAAAAACAAAAACTATAATAATATATGATTCAGTATCAAATAATAATACCTATACTAATATATCTACTATGCATATAATATTTGGTCTGAATTCATATAGGAACGTTTCTACGCGTGACTAGATTGAGTGTTACGTTAAAGCAAAACCGTCGGTTTATAAACTACTTACACATTATGTTGTGTTTTATTAATAATTATGACTAGATACTCTACAGATTGAACGACTAGTGCAGCCAATGGCCAGAGGTACAGAGGACGAGTATATAATTAGACTAGAGTAATTATCATTGACTATCATGACTAGATTATAATATTTTAAAAGTGACTAGAATTTTAAGACCTAAAGTGTATACCAAGAACAACTCTAGATTCTGCTCAGAGGCCGTATAAGCTCCACTGGATATTTAAACTATAATTAACTATTGATTGATTAATTTTTTCTATACAATTTTTTTTTTAAGTACTTTAGATATTTATTGTTTTTTTCTTATACTAGATATTTGTGTCCAGTGTTAAGACCTCTAAACAGTTAGTTCTAGTTGCCCTTATGGTTTGATCGACATTTTAAAGCTGATGTAAGACTAGAATTTAGGGAGCTTAAATGCGAACGACTAGAATAATAAGTTATTATAATAAGCCTAAAATTAAAGGAGCTAATTTAAGCATGGCTAGAAATGTATAAAGCTTAGTGCGCACAAGACTAGAATTTAGAGATCTGAGATTTAAAAGACTAGAATTTAAAAGGTTTGAAAATTGTACTCGTACAATTATTTAAAACCCAATGTAGCTAACACTAGAAATTAGGGACCTGGAGTATGCAAGACTAGAAATGAGAGCTTGGATTAGAAAATACTTAAATTTAAAGACTAGGATTGAGAGATCTATAATTTAAAGGACTAGGATTAAACGACCTACAAATTGAATGACTAGATTTTCGAGACCTAAAAATTGAATGACTAGATTTTCGAGACATACAAATTGAACGACTAGAATTTTGAGACCTACAATAAAATCAATTGACTAGAATTTGGAGATCTAAAATTTAAACGACTAGAATTTTAAGATCCTTTATTTGAACGACTAGAACTATTAGACTTATTAGTACGCGTGACTAGAATATATATATATATATAATTTTTTTTTTTTGATGAAGACTAGATTAATAAGTTATAATTTATAATGACTAAATAGTTACCTACTTAATATTATAAGATTTTGACTAGTTATGGTTGTGTGTGCGTGTAAGACGAATGCTTATATTATTATATTGTTTATAGTATTGTTGTTACCTCGAAGTTATATTACTACGTAATATACACGTGTAATAGTCTCGTTGCGGTACATCATGGATTAAACACGGCAGTCACAGGTGACCACTCTTATCACATCACGACGTTGTTATCAGCTTTGAAGGCGTTGTTGTTGTTATTGTTGGCTTCTACGGCCGCTCTCTGTAGCATGTTCTTCTTAAAGAAAACTGTTCCGCTGGTAGTGGCGGCGTCCGCGTAGCCTAATGGTGAATCTACGGAGAGGGAAGGTGACGGTTGCGACGGCGGCGGCGTCGACTCGGGCCGCTGTTCTTCCCGGTGTCTGTTGGCCTCTGCCGCGTTCTTACCGGTAGCGGCGCCGTGCCATCGGCGATGCGACGCCAAATTGGCCGGACACTGGAACACTTTGGAACACTCGGGGCACCGGTACCGGACGTGCACGATGCACTTGCACCGGTGGGCGGCCAGGGCGAAAGCGTCCGGATAAACGGTGGTGCACAACCGGCACCGGTACTCGCCGATCACGTTGGGGATTTCGGCCAGCTGCTGGCGAGCTTCGGGGGTGGCGGCCACCACGTTGAACCGGGGATCGATGTCGCCGCCGAACTCGTCGTCGTCATCGTCGGCGGCGTCCAGACCAACCGGATCTCGTGATCTACGGTCTCCCGGGTCAGCATGCCGTTCTTCCGGTTGGTTTTCGTCGCCCGCATCGTCTTCGCGTCGCCGCTTCCTGTTTTTCGGCCGCTCCGTCTTGTAGTCCGCGTCCGGACCCGTAGGCTTTTCCACGATGATCGTACCCGATACCGGCGACGACTTGTCCAGGACGCCGGTTTTGAGCGAGAAATTCAATTTTCTGGACGCCGCTTTCACCTTCTTTAGCAATTTGTCGTCGTTGCGCACGCTGTCGTCCTCGTTGCAGTTGTTGTTGTTATTGTTGTTGTTCGTACGTTTCAGTTTTTTAGACTTGGACTTGGCCTCGGACGAACTGTCGAATTGACCGCGGCGTTTCACTGGAGTGGACGCGGCCGTTTTGTTGTCGAAGAATTCTGATTGTCCGTCCACCGTCACCTGAAGCAAGGCCGTCGCCTTCACCGTGGTCATAGTGGCGTCACCGGCCCGTTGGTTCGGCTTTACGGACAAGTCCAGTGGACTACACGGCCGCGAGTGGTCATCGCCGTAGCAGCCGTCAAGCGATCGGGGCGGGATGATCGGCCACACGTGTTGCCGGAAGTCAACGGTCGGCACCTCTTGTTCGGTTTCGGTCGGCCCGTTCAAGTCGTTGTCGTCTTCGTCGTCGGCCCTCAGTAATATCCGGTGTTGCATGCGCTGCTGTTGCTCGTGCAAGAACAACTTCTCCACTAACCTGTCGTGTTGCTGTTGTCGGACCACCATGTCGTACCACGACAGGGCGGCCGCTTCCGTGGCCGACTGGCCGCTGAACGCCTGGTGTCCGTAATTATTGTTGTAACTCGTCGACATCTCGTACCAAGTGGCTGCGGTGTTGATTAGCTTGCGCTGATCGAGCGCTCGATGCACTGACACCGGCGGCCTACTGCTGGCCGACTGTCACTGAGCTTGGTCACCGGCACCCGTCGGCATCGGTTGTCGCGCCAAAAGACGGTTAGCCCCGCAGCACCGCCCTCCCGGCGACGCCGGCAGCTCATTGGCTCGCGCCCGACGTGCCCCCTGCCGCCGCGCCGCGCTACTTTGGCCGTGCACACAAACACACACAAACCGTGTACTAACGGTATCTTTTCATGTTCGTCCGGAGCGCGTGCCTGCACCACCAGCAGCCCCTGTTCCTCTGCAGCAGCAGCAGCTGCACCCGACGCGCCGACACGAGCCGCCACCGCAGCTGCAGGTTTCGCGCGATAGAACCGAATAAATTATATAACCCATTAGAGGCGGCACGCGTGCTCTGCCGGTGCAAATCACGATGTATAGGTCTGGTTTGTGAGGCAAGCGGGGGAGGGTAGGGCGGCGGAAACCCGTCGAACGTAATGTACAGCGACAGACAGCTGATCGCGAAAGGTCTGCGCACACTGTGCCGAGACTTGGTGTACTGTAAATACTCACAAGAGTAAGTACCGTTTCTGGAGAAAGGGTTTTCGGATGTTCACACTTAGTTTATAGATCATATTTTACCGTACTCGCGAAAGGATGAACAACTAAACGCTGTATAAGATACATATAATTATTATAGTATTATGGTCTATTAGTATAACGACCGAATTTAACAAAAAATACAAACGGTTTTGTGAAATTGGTCGGTTAAACATATTATTTATTTTCATTGGCTTCGACTTGAAGCTGAGAAGGTATTGTTTTAATGATGACGTGTTCTTATTTAAAAAATGAAATACTTAAGACTATTGGCCTAAAAATTAGTCTAAAGGTAGATCTAGTGTGGCACTAGCAATATTTATTCAAAATATTAAGTAAATATTTGTTTTATTAAGAAAACCCTGCCCCCCACAAGTTATATAAAAGTAAAAATCCTACCATAAAACATAGTAATTCTTATACAATTGTATATTGCCACTTGTTGATATAATATATATTACGATTTCTAAATTTTAAAATATTTGTTGTAAATAAAACATGTATAGAAAACGTGTATACATTCAAAATTTTCAATAAATTATTCTCAACCTAAAAAGTTGATCAACTACATAGTACATACTTACCATATTTTTAAAAAAGTTCAAAATGTTTAAGTAGTAATGTTGTTCTGTTGAGAAATGTATAAAAAAATCTTTTAAGTCATAATAATTCCTAAAGACTTTGTGACGTTTAAACCCAAATATGGCTCGTCCCCACCACTGTTCTGTCTTTTTATTTATTTAATTTAACGGGTAGGAATCATTTGTTTTGGTTGCTTGTGTTTAGAATTTGTCTGAAATTTGTATTACCTAATATAAACATCATATAATTATTTTACAAAGTACATAATTTTGGTTCAAACTACAATCTGATTTATAATAACTAGTTTATACGAGTATTGTGAATATTTGATAAATATTAAACAATTTAAAGTAAAACAATTTTGACGATTTATTCTTTTTGTAATTCTTACAGAAAATATAAATATATTTGTAATTATTCGGTATTATTCCGCATTTTCTAGACTTAAGCCATTGGGATTTATCTGTTTTTGAAAATGTTTTCATGGCCCCTACATAGTGTGTCAACTGATCAAGTGAACTATCCTGCAAATGACACGTAACAACAATTATAAACACGACTATTATTATATAATATAAATGCCGTGAAGTAAGAAAACTAATAAGTCATAAGACGGGAGAGAATATTTCAAGAACTTTTCATTTATAAGTTCTACATAATTATTACCGTCCAACGTCAGACCAAGCAACAACAATAGATATTAGCGTTGCATGGCGGGCGATGCCGTATTTTTAAGGAAAACTTAAAATTAATATTCCAGAAATTGACAACGACGCCGGACACGGTGTGTACATAATATAAATAGTAAAGTTTTAATATTAATAAATATCCGGTACCGAAACTTTTGCAATTTGAGTATAATAATAACCACATCATTCGCTGTGTAGTATTCTTGGAAGTACACAATAAAAAAAATATAGCTGAACCGCCGAACTTTATCAAAGAAAAGTATTATTTATAAATATTATCATACCAATAAATACATATAATTTGATTCGTCTATACAAACTGCGCAAAAAAATTAAACGCAATAATGTACTAATCAAAAGTAAGGTTACCAGAACCGACGAGGTTTCATCCAGGAAAATAGTATAGGATAACTCAGGAGAACCAGTCGAAGTGCTACAAGTGGTAGGCTCGTGTGTTTCTAAATCTCAGGCATTAACGGGTTTGCGGTGTGCAAGTTTACCTAAGGGCGACTAATTGGTGAAGAAAAACACTGATCTCCGAATGTCTTTTGTATTTGAAAACAAGTAATAGCAAATTGTATTAAGAAAAAAAAATGTTTGTGTGATTCATAGTATGTAATTTGTATATATATATATATATATATATTATATACAGATACAATTATATTATATAATGATTTTAAAGTTTTTTAAAACCCATTTCTGTAAGTAGATATTATATTTATTGAGTTAAATGCATTAAGGCTGAATGATAAAAATACATTTGTCGAGAAAAGAGAGGCGACGCTGATTGAGGGCTTGTAATATAATAATAATATTATGTGTCTATATTCTGATTTCTATATTTTATACAATAATAATGAACCAAATAAACGTTTCTTAATTGATTAACCGCCTTATACGGTGCGGTTGAACCTAACCGAATTCGATTCGTCCCAGCAGAAAATCGACACTAATGGCCTACAGGGACCGATAGTATTAATTGTATGTATATATATGTAGTTTTAAAAAACGACTAAAACTTAAGCGTCGTTTGTTGAATTGGTTTCTCACGCCCACCCGTCAAAAGTATATATATATATGAATGTATATATTAATGTATATATACATACATTATATACACCACAGAGGGTGAGCAGAAACGACTATTTTTTTTTATTTTAACGCACCCTCCAATCCCTACAAATCCGTTACACGTTTATTTGATATATAATTCCAACCCACCCCCCTCCCCACCCCCTTCTTTGACCGGGACTTGTCATATTATATTGTCACCGTGGAGTTGGCTGGCATCAGTATTTTTGCGAGGGCGCTTTCAAAAGCCCATATGGTACATAATAATATATAAATGCACGTGTATAATAAAATCCCATTGGACTAGATTTTCGAACTCGGCCAAACTGTTTTTAATGCGAACGTTGTTGGTATTAAATCGAGGGTACATTTTGTATGACTCGTCAAACGCATAATTTTATATCAGCAGGACTGGCGGCACCCGCAAAGTACTATAGTAGTAGTAGTAGTATACTAGCTATATCATTCGCAGCACTCTATACACATGCTAATGTAGTATACAAACAACCACCTAACCTAACCTAAGCAAAAAAAAAACCCTTCCAACCATCTTACAAACACTTTGTAGTGAACGGCTCAAAAGCTGAAATCGAGAGACCGTTCAAGATGTACACAAATTCCCGAGTTGGTTAACAGGAATAGAAAATAGAACCAAATATAGAAATATTGAAAAGTTTGGGTTTTCCATTTTCAACTTATGGTTAAAGCAAAAATAACAATAACAAGTTCTTCAGAAAAAATGTAAAATTTTATTTTTTTTTATTTAAAAAAATAAAACATGTCTTGGTATAATTTTGTTTCGCATATTTTGAGAGTAAAAAAATGAATAATGTGCAAATAAAATTAAAAATTATATTACACATTATTTTTTTCAAAATTTGAAGAAAAAAAATTCATTACTAAAAAAAAAATAGAAATAAATTTCGGTTAGGTCTTATATTTAGACAAATAGAACTGTAGCATTTTACAAATACAATTTTTTTAGTTTTATTATTTGTTTTTTTGTTTTATGGAAAACAAAGTGATTTTGGCCATATTTTATTTTATTATTTGTATTTCTGATCGGTTGAATTTGCTTGCATGATACTACCATATTGTTACACATATTTTAGGGAGTACACATCTGTATATATAAAAATGAATGTCTGTCTGTTTGTTTGTCCTTTATATATAAGTACACCATTCATCCGATCGCCATGAAACTTTGGGAAGTTGTTGAGTACACTCCCGCGAACCTAACTGGCATAGTATATTTTGAAAATTCCACCCCTAAGGGTGGTCTTAAGCACGAACTTTGTACTTTAAATACGAAATGTAAATAAATTTAATGTTTGTACTCATGGTAACCCAAAATAAACACTTGGTTTATAACCGTGGTAACCACGGTACTCGAGCAAATGGTAGGTGATGGTTAAAGAAACAGGCCGATTCTATGTACCACGATTTTGGGCAAGCTTTTAACTGTTGGAACGGGTTCTGGCCGGGACCCTTGAGTAAGAAGAGGACATAACAACCGAAAAAAGTGTCACAAAAACTAATTTCTAGCTCTTAATACCTAAAATTAAACCTAAAAAAAAAACGTCCAACCCCCTTTCCAGGGGCGGGCGGTTGTCAATATTTGGGTTTTATGGCATGCGTGCATAGAACCATGCTTAATCAATGTTCTATAAAAAACAATTTTTTTTCTGTTTTCCCCGATTTTCGGGTCAAAGAGGTTGATTTTTTTCTACTGAAAAAAACTAAAAATACTTATTACAAAGTTATCGTGACTTTAGACAAGAAATAGATCACATCTTTATAAAACCAATACTTTCTCAGCAATCGCGTCGAAGCTAAAAAAAAACTGTAATAGAATAAAACTATTTGATTTCGGTCAAACGAATGGGAAACAATTTGTGCATCTTTGCGCTTTATTGATGGTATTAAGTAACTGTTTGACGACAGTGTAGTCTCCCATAGGTATATATTATATTATATTATATTGAATAGGTATTAATTAATCGTTAAAGATTCAAGGGAAATTCAATGCTGTCCCGCTTAGGTTATATATTTTTTTTTTTTTGTCACCCGGACTTTTTCAAAATATCCGTTGGGTCCCTCT